TTTTTATATAATTTTTTGATACAACTTTATATATCATTTAATAATTAATTTTTTTTTCATTTTATTAAGATTCATGATATAAATATTATATATATTTATTCATTCAATAACATATAAAAATTATAAACAAAATTTACACAAAAATATTGTAGGCATTATTACCCTATCCAAATTCATTACCATATCTAAATTAAAAAAACTAATAAAAATTTATTGTTATAAAAATTCATTATAAAAAAATTGTAAATAATTTTTTTTCTTTCGAAAGAAAAGATGTGCAATGTCTTTTTTTTTTTTTTTTCATTTTTGGTAAAAAGTGGGATTAAAATTAACAAAACTGCAACATACAACTAAATTCTAAATAGAAGCAAAATCCTAAAAATATAGTGCAATTTGATTCATCAAAATTTTAGCAATGTTACTCTGTCAGTACCTTTGATTCTGCACGATTCTGTGAATGCTCCTTAGCATCGCTGTCACTGAGAAACTTATCTACGGTATCAGGATGTGAGGAGGAAGACAATGATTTATCCTCCATGGATTCACTACAAGGATGACAACTTTCAAAATCATCTTCCAATAATGAAAGATCAAGGTAACTCAACCAGTCATCTGTTGATTCAGCATCATTATCACTTTTGTCCTTGTCTGATTGAGTGGGGATCGAATCTATTCCAGGAATGGCTGAAAATTTTTCATGAAAACTATCTGTTCAGTAGAATGTTAAAGACATTAATGCATTTATCATCCAGAAACTATCTAACTTCTTCTAAATTGAATAGATTAGCAATTTATGATGTACTGCAAACCTAGACATATTGAAGCCAAAAAAAAGTTCACCTGGTTGAGCATTTTCACGTTCCAATGGCTGTGCACCATCCAGATACCTATCTGTATTTGGACGAGAACCAGAAGACGAAGAACCATCAATCTCAGAATTGGGCATCGTTTCAGTTACCTGGGAATGAGGAATTTCTCCTTCAGTCTTTTTAACACAACTTAAATCTTCCATTCTTCGCTAATATAAATTCAGAAAAAGAATATTAAATAAGGGCTCTATAATGAAACTGTTCAGGCACCTTATTGACAAGAGTATAGATAACAAAATGTTTCCCTTTTTTTTTTTCAGCCAGACAATTACAAAATCAATTTGATCCAATTTTACCATGTGAACATCCAGTTCATTATCCAGAAACATATCTGAACATCTGTACTATAACTTGCCTTTGTGAATTGTTGCAGCAAAGACATTGAAGGTTTAAGTTATAAGATAAGTCATCGGTAGGCTTTGTTGTGAAAGAATAAGGTTGAATCAGAAAGAAAAGAAAGAAAAAGGAAGTACTGAGACGAGAGAGTGGGAGGAAAAATATAGCATAAATCAGGCACTTGACAAATCGGAACATCTTTTATCACCCCTATGAAAACAACTATTCTCTTA